TTCTCTTCTCAGATGTTGTGAGAAGACGATGGAGGTGATGAGGAGCTCTCAGGAGGCTCTCTTGACAATCGTAGAGGTACGAGAACTGGAGAACAGATCACAACACAGAGCCCCTCCCCTTTCACCTTTTATATTAAGCTAATGTTTGTCTTTTGGACTGACAGGTGCTGCTGTATGACCCATTGTTTGACTGGACCATGAACCCTCTGAAGGCCTTCTACCTGCAGCACGACGAACACCAGGAGCTCAATGCCACCCTGAGCTCCACCATGGGAGGAGAAGACCTCGTCAACCATCGTAAATCCAGGTGATCAATGGAAGCCTTTTCTGCTGCATTTAGTTTTCATTAAACCACTTATTTAAACTCTTTCTTTTTTGGTTCCATCTGCAGTGACAGCCAGAGCTCCAACAAGGTGGCAGAGAGGGTGCTGCTGCGTCTGCAGGAGAAGCTGAAAGGGGTGGAGGAGGGAACGGTGCTCAGCGTGGGTGGGCAGGTCAACCTGCTCATTCAACAAGCCATGGACCCCAAAAACCTCAGCAGGCTGTTTCCAGGATGGCAGGCCTGGGTGTAAACCTCCCCGTCGACATCAGTTGTTCTGGAGCCTTAATGGCAGATCAGTGCTGCAGCGTCTCTGTAGATCCGTTTCTGCCAACTTTGCACTTTATGAGGAAGCTGTGGATCCAATGTAGCCATGCCTAAAAAAAGTGGAAGTGTTCTTTAGAAAATGTTGGTCCTTAGCTTTTTTTCATCAGGTTCAATGTGAATGTTTTCTTTCTGTCCACTGAAGCATGATGGATGATGATGATGAGACTTCTGCCATTGACTATCCAAAGAGCACGCTTTATGAATGTAAATGCAGTGCATTTCATCTTTTTACTCACTGTTTTTTTTTCTCTATCCTACTGTATTTCATCTCTGGATGTTTTCTTTCAGCATAGAATAATTAAAGAGAAAACAAAGATGTCATCTGAATACAGTTTGTTCTTCAAAACAACTTTAGCTAATATCAAAAGCTCCTTCTGTGTACCTCTGATACTTGATGTTATTGTTCTTGTAAGGATTAAAACAACAGATCATAAAAAAGAGGTTGTATTTAAGCATGAAATGGGAGCAAGAAAATAGAAGAAGAGGGTCATATATTTGGGGGGGACAGGATTCAGAATCATTTTGAAAATTGTTTTCAGTTCTTCACATTGGAAGTTGCTTCCTTTTCTGGATCATTTTAAACTTTTTTTTGAAATTCCATCCATCTTCAAAATACATTGCCTTAAATTTAAAAATTAGGCAAAAAAAAGCTGTAAAACTCCAGGAAAATAATGCCATGAAAAAGAAAGGGGGCATTAAAATGAGCAGAAACCCTCTAAATACAAAAAAAGATCCTTTCATATCACTTTGATCCTTTAATTCCCTGTAATCCACAGCTATGGCTGAAGGTTTTGTAAAAAAGCTGAAATCTTTTTTTATTCTTGCATGCTATGGGATTTCATTTAGATTGCCATCAAAAGTGATGAGCATTGGTTACAATATTTTTATAGCACTAGTGGCTCATTTTTTTTGACTGGTCAGATTTAAACCCTGGTTGGTCGCGTTGAGGACTAAAGCCTTTTTTTTGGTATTTGAGCCCCATCATAAACTGAACTGCCAGCCCATTAATTAATTCATGGTTCAGAGGAATATTCAGCAATGAAGAACAGGTGAAAGATTCCTTTATAAAGGGATGCTTGGAATTATTCTTCCTTAGACAGACCTGGTAACCATCCAGGAAACGTGGTATCATTTTAGTTTTGCATCTAAAGAGCTCCACAGGCCAGAATAATGATGCTGATACGACTGCATTTAAATCAAATATTAATCAAATCTTCCAAATAACCTCAAGGAGAGATTTAGCTGCAATAAGTAACCGATTTAAGAGTGACCTAGGAAGGCCAATGAGTGCTTTGCTATTCCTGGAGAGTATTCAAATAAGGGTAGGGTTGCCGCCAGGGCAGAGCTTGCTCTGGAATGGAGGTGGGGCAAAGATGAGTATTTCAGTTTCAACGCTGAGATTGAAGGTTTTGTTTGCTGGCTGAGTGTCAGGAAGTGTTGCATAAAACAATAAACATCCTGGACAGTCTGTAATTCAACAGGAAGAACATTTTTTTGTTTTAACCCCCTTTAGGCTTTTGTATACATCTTTAAAAGGACTGATCCAGGAAAGGAAAGGTTAACTACAAGGAATCCCACATCATATGTACAGTAAAGACCAGGAATGTGTGGTGGCTCACTGCCACAAATAAAGATGTAAAACATCTTAAAGGGAAATTAGGAGATATCTGATAACGAATTATACTTTTTCCAGCAAAATGTGGCATCATATCACAAGCAGCCACTAATAACCAGGTGGCTCAGGAGCAACTTTGGGATTTTGGATCCCATTTGTATAGCACAATTCAGTACAAAGACAATGCAAAGTGCTTTACGTGATTAAAATATAGGGAAATAAAACACAATCAGAGCAAGTAGAAGAAAAAATAAAAGAATAAAAAATAAAAAAAAAGATGCAGAAACAAGAAAGAACAATAAAAGCAGTTGGACTTAAGAAAATAAAAAAACAAAAAAAATGAACTGATGATGTTTCAGTGGAACTTTTTAACTAGAACAGTCGAATGCAATCCTAAACAAACGTGTTTTTAGTCTTGATTTAAAGGAACTCAGGTTTTCCGCACTTTTACAGTTTTCTGGAAGTTTGTTCCAGATAAGTGGAGCATAGGAACTAAATGCTGCTTCTCCATGTTTAGTTCTGGTTCTAGGTATGCAGAGCAGGCTGGAGCCAGAAGACCTGAGTGGTCTAGAGGGTTGATACACTGATAGCAAGTCTGTGATGTATTTAGGTGCTAAGCCATTCAGAGATTTATAGACTAACAGAAGTATTTTAAAGTCTATTCTCTGAGATACAGGGAGCCAGTGTAAGGCTTTAGAACTGGGGTGATGTGCTCTACTTTCTTAGTCTTAGTGAGGACACGGGCAGCAGCGTTCTGGATCAGCTGCAGCTGCCTGATCCACTTTTTAGGGAGACCTGTGAAAACACCATTACAGTAATCGATTCAACTAAAAATAAACACATGGATCAGTTTTTCCAGATCATGCTGAGACATTAGTCCTTTAATCCTGGTAAAGAATTTCCCTGGATTTGAACCAGTAATAAGACATCATCGATTAGGATTCAGTCCAGAAGCTAAAAATACAGCATGCTTGGGCCAAATTGACAAAGGCTTGGGAAAGAAAAGTACAGTTGGAAATGATGATCTGAAGTGAAGTGATGTAAAATCTTAGAAAATTATATGAAGTGTTTGATATTTTACTTAAACAGCCTCAAGCAAGAAAAATCAACGTCTTTTCTTTAACTTTTAATCCTATTCCCTTATAAAAAATAACAGGGAGTGGCAACCTAATGGTTAGGGCATAGAGCTTGGACTGCCGCTCTGCTCCCTGGGTGTCCCACGATGGCAGCCCACTGCTCCTCAAGGGGATGGGTTAAATGCAGAGTCAAATTTCTCCAATTTGAGAATATTATTATTAAATCCCATCTGAAGTGTTCTTTCCTTTTATCCATATATGTCTGAGTAAACCTCACTACTTCTGCTCTCTGAGCAGCAGCACCTCTCTTTCCGGGAAAAATAGTGACCATCACATTTCCATGTTGAGCAGTGAATATCCAACCCCTCCAGGAAGCACCTACTTTGACCACACTGTGTCTGCCCGATAAACAACACACCCATTTTATCTAATTGTCATGCAGTGCTGTAAAGCAGAGCCTGATGATGTCTGCCCAAAGGGGGTATGTATCTGTGTGGCAGTAACCCTGCCACAAACAACAGCTACAAATGTGCGGGCTGCTCACCTTTCACTTTCCCCCTTCATACAGAAGACGATGCAACTACATTTTACTTAGAGACTGTATATTTGTGCAAATTGTGCATGGTTGATATTCAGGCAATGCAGAACCTTCCTGTTGGGGTTTGTACATGTGTTTACTATGAAATGATCAAACTCAATATATTTATTTGTTTCAAGGCTCTTAACTCATCAGCGACTAATGTGCTGACAAGTCGGGGGAGCAGGAATACGGTACAAAAACAAACTTTCTTATTTTCAACATGGTCATATGACTTTGCTTCGCCACAGTTAGATTCATTACCTTATCTCTATTAATCTTTTCCACAGGCACTGGAAACACAAATGTAGTTCAATGACCGGGAGATCAGAATTTTACCATGCTATGGTCTTTACTACGCTGGTGCTAATGGGAAATGTTGTCTTCCTTCAGGCAAAACAATACAGCTTTTATATTCTAGGGGGGAAATGAAACTGAAAGGTATTTAGTGCTGTTTTCAGAAAGTCTCTTGGGCCGCATCAGGGAGAAGCAGCCTCATAGTAAAGTCTTTCTTCCTTAAACAATATTTTAAAATGAATAAATACTCCATAGTGCCAAAGGCAATATTTTCTCATATATATGCCTATAGTTGACTTTAGAAGGTTTAAAAAAAAAGCATGATATAAGAACAAAAGTGTGCCATAGAAACTCATTCAGGTGAGTGTGACATCACTGATCCGAAAGTGGTGGAGCTAGGCGTTTATTGTTGCGGGGCAAGGTTATCTCAAAGGGGTCCAGTGCCTCCTCTTCCAGCTTCTAGCTTCGCCCCTGCAGTGAACAAATAAACTCTTAAAATATCAAACACTTATATCAAACATTTATATATTTATTCTGATGAGACATTGATGTTGTTTCCCTGCAGGCTCCATGCTGTGTTGTAGTTTTTCACTGCACATTTACTGCAATGTGAGAAAACCATCTCAACATTCAGCCTGTTTTTCCAGCTTTTGTTCTATTTGCTTTATGCCTATTTGGGAAACTTTTAAGTGACTGCGTGTTAAGAGCAGGAGGGGCCTTTCATATGTTTACACAAACTGATTAATTTGACTATTTGCACTGTGATAATGCTGCAGAGCAGAGAGGAGACGTTAAAGGTCCTTAACTTGTCAGTCTTTTCACTTTCAGAGTCAAACACGGATTCGTTATGTGGACGAGAAGCTAACTGATGTTTGAAGGATCACAGGAACTTAATCCCTAAGAGATTATTGTCAGATTAATAGAAGATGATCACCAATCCAGTAAGTTTTCTTTTCCACTGAATTTCTTAAAAGAAATTATTCATTTTTGTATTATTTACATTGGTTTAAATTAAAAACTTATCATTTTTAGTTTCTTCTTTGACAGAATTATAAACCCTATCGAAATCTGGGGGGTGTATTGCTGCCTCAGATAACATAGTTAACTTTCTGTTCACAAAAAAGTCACACTGACACACTAAATATTTGAGATTTTAAACAGTAATACATGTTGATTTTAAGCACTTATCTTTATATTTGACTTTCAAGAATAACCTGTATGCTTTGCCAACAGTATCTCAATACAGATCAACCCTTCATGCATGAAGATGACAAAATACAATTCACACCAAAGAAAGGATCAGATGTTAAGCTCCAATATGTTCACCATGTGTCCCCAAACCCCCCACCAGAGATCGGCAGCTCCAACCCCCCCAAGAAAGGTAAATGTGGCTTTCTTTTGCTATGAACTTTTGATCAATAATTATCCTTTTAAGATACAGGGAAAAAAATATTCAGTCTGCAAGTATTTAAAATATACAAAATAAATTGGAACAAGAATCAATCTACAGAAGTTGGATTAATTGCTACTATTAGAAATTTGGCACCATTGCTATTCCCTGACAAAGCATCAGATAAACAGACTTTATTTGCTTAAGTCAGAAACAAATCGCTCCCATAGTGATTGATAATCACGAATGTCGTTAAAGTATTGAACTAAAGCATACTTAGCACTTAGAGACTGACAAGATGTGTGCAGAGAAATTAATCAGCAATATCAAAGATTTCCAAAGATGTTTACTGACAGCAAAACGCTGCGTTTAAAAGCCAGAAACATTTCCACATTAAAACTGATAGTATGGATTTGATCATTTCAAATATAAATGGACAGCTTCTACAAAAAATATTCTAAAGTTGATCATTTTAAAATATTAAAATTACAAACTTCAATCCATTTTACAGGAATTTCATGTGTGAACAAATTACCTCAGAACTGTGAAGTAGACATAGTAAAAGAAAAGGAAGCATGTTTGTTTTAATATATTTAGCAAATGAAAATATAAAAAGAATTTGCTTACATGTATTCAGCTCCCTAGTACTCTGGTCCTCTAAAATAAAATCTAGTGCAATGATTTGCCCTCAGATCTGACCTAACCAGTAACCTGTGTGTAATCCAATCTAAAGTATAAACCCTGCTTTTTTGTTCCAATGAACTATAATTAAAAACAATTGGGCAATGATAAATTTTATATTCAGGTTTGAGGCAGAGATAGGCTATAAAAATTTTTTTCAAGGCTTAAAGGTCCAGTTTCATGTCTGCAGTGTACGAGACGCTACAGTCAGATGAGAGGAAAGCTGGAAGAAAAAACTTGCATGTTTTAAAAATCTGGCCTTTATAAAAACATATTCATAAATAAAATAAATTATAAATAATGGTGTAATGCAACAAAAGGTGATGGATACTTTGCCGAGTGCTTTATGTGAGAAAACTGCCATCACACCAATAAAAACATTATCCTGTAGCTTTAAATTAGCAAAAACTTTAGGCTCAGCCTATGGATTACTCTTTAGAGACAACAAAATGCATATTTATAGTTTGGGTTAAAATGATGAAAATCTGAAGCAGCAGCTGGAGTTAGTGGGGATGGATACAGATGTGCTTTTACTCACTGTGATGTTCTGTCAGATGTCAAAGAGAGATGGTTGAAGTTCACCGTAGCGGCTGTGATCTCCCTGCTGCTCCTCCTGATGGTGGCTGGCATCCTCCTCGGTTATTACTGTGAGAGCATGATTTACCTGAACCATTATCCCTGCAGCTTTTTTTTAGATAAATTAGTATTTTTAAAAGCTTTTCTTTTTTGGGGGGTTTCTTTGTTACGGTACATGTTTCAGATTCCTCATCCTGTCTACATGGGATGCGGTGTGGGGATGGGAACTGTGTGTGGGACTCTCAGTGGTGTGACGGGGTCAAGAACTGTCCTGCAGGCCAGGATGAAGCTAACTGTGGTAAATATATATTTTTACAAAAGAAAAATAAAATCAGCTTTATTCACATTTGCACAAAAAGCTTTTTAGAGACAACAGGATCAAATATACCCACGGATTATGTGATAGTTCAAGTTATTTGTGTTTAAGTTCCACCTCATTTCTTCCTTTAGTATATATTTGGCTCTGATCTGACAATTCATCTTCTACTCTGACAATTAATATAAAGTCTATTATTTGTTTTCAGTGAGGGTGCGTGGCTCAAACTTCCTCCTTGAAGTTTACTGGACTGAGACTAAAGAGTGGAGGCAGGTTTGCTCCGAGGGCTGGAGTGATCAGCAGGGTAAAGCAAGCTGTCATGACATTGGATACACCAGGTGCTCTTAATAAAACCTAAAGAAATACATTTTTGGAAGAGAAAAGATTTGTATTTGCAATACAAACTGTATATCTGCATGCATGTTTTGACAGGGACACATATTTTCAATCAGGACACCAAAGGACTGACTCAAATAGGGGTTTTTTATCAGTGAAGTCAAGCTTCAACCCTCAATCATCTATACTGCAGCAGCTCACCCAGAGGTTAGAGCTGATCAAGAGAGTAAAAGATTCTTAGAAAACTATAAACATAATCTTCTAAATCCCACTATTTTCACCTATTTTAGAAGTTCATGCAAGAACAACAGTGTGGTAACGCTACAGTGTACAGGTATGTTTCATTTTGCTATAATTCCTTCTCTAAAGTCCCCCCCCCTCCCCTAATCTGATTGCAGTCTATGTTTTCAGACTGTGGGAACAGGGAGAGCTCCAGCGAAGCCTCTGGATCCCAGCTGGCCTCTGTGGGGTCTTGGCCCTGGCAGGTCAGCCTACATGTTGCTGGCTCTCACAGGTGTGGAGGAGCAATCATTTCACCACGATGGCTCATCACAGCAGCTCACTGTGTGAGCAGGTGGGTGTTTCATTGGGACGCTCTTTAAAACAAGAGCTTAAGTCCAATCCAGTCTAACGCTTTGGGTTTTTTGTCTCCCTCTACAGGACCTCAAGTCCTGCAGACTGGGCAGTGTATGTTGGGATAGTGGACCCGTTAGGCCCAGTGTTTAATCCTGCCCATGCTGTGAGTGAAATAATAACACATGAAGGATATAACAGCCAGACTCAACAGAATAACGTCGCGCTCATGAAGCTCTTCGATCCTTTGAACACCAAAGGTACTCATAGATACAATGCCCTGCAGAGTTAAACTCAAACCTATTTGCACATATCCTTAAATCACAACCATAGACATCACTCTTTACTCAGTTACACCTTCTTAAAACAGATTTTTTTAATATTATTTTTTAATAAACATAGGCACCTATAATTAATACTGCTACCAGAATAATTGCAGTATAAATCCTGATGTTTTATAAAGTTATTATAGTTTATTAAAGAAAGAATATTGTTAAACATGTTGCATTATAAACAGCTAGAAATATTGCAGACGGGTTAGATCCAAATTTAGATTGTAAAACAAAATCACAGGCTTTTAACATTTTACAGAGGTCAATCTGTCATTTTAAATGAGGTGTATGACACACAGAAAATACCAAGAATTGGCCATCGACCTAAACTGCAGGCCCAGTGTGACATGTAGAAGTACTTTTTGAAAAGAAAAAGGCAAAATAACCTGTTTTTGTAACTTTCAACAAGCCAAATAGGGGACACTGCAAGTGTGTAAAGGAAGCAGCTGAAGTTTGACGAGACAAACAAAGAATTTCTGGCAGAAAAAAAATTTCTTTAGTGGAAACTAACATTTATTCCAACTGTAAGACATGGTAGTGGCTGTATCAAGATGTGGGGCTGTTTTTTTTTTCAACAGAAAAGATGGTAAAATTTGATGGAGGGAAAAATAAAGCAATGTTGGAAATTGTCAGAAGTTGACTTTCCAGGAAGAAGACATTCGGATTAGGGCTAAAACTAGTGATTATTTTGCAAATCGATCAATCTGTTGATTATTTTTTTCGATTAATCGACTAATAACCGGTCAACCAAAGGTTCCTTAAAAATACTTTTTTACCAAATTAAACCAGGTGAAACTAAAATGTTTACACTTGAGGAGTTCTAGATAGAACATATTGACAAACAAAAAAGTTTTTCTTTTTTTATCTTAAATGCAAAATGTTTACTTTTTTTTTTTTTTTTTTTTTACAATTTTGATATAATTACTGCTCTAAGTGGTTCGCTCTGTCAGCTAAAGGCATGTTTTTGAGCCTCTATAATCCAGTTAACGATTATTAGATAATCAATTAATCAAGATTAATCTGATTGTTTCAGCCCTAATTCAGAAAGAGCTGAAATTAAATTGCTTTAGATCAGAGCGGAGTGTGATCGTGCTTTAGAGTGTCCCAGTCAAATCTTAGACCTAAATACAAGAAAACAGTCTGACTCAGCTTGAGGTTTTTGTTCATTAAAAGGCTTGAGTGGTTCTTGCAGAGAAAGGTGGTTCATCAAGGCATAGATGCTAAGCAGCTGATTAAACATGAACGCTGTACTTCTTGTTTGCAAACAATATTTAAAACCATTTATAATGTCTGTCCACTTATTACTTACTTTATGCTATATGCGTTATGTCTGTTAATAAATTTCCATCATGTTACTTTTCCAGAACCCTGTAAAAAATAATCCCTCTGATGAAAATAATATCAATAAAAAGCATTTTTATGTTGCAGCTTCCAGTAAAATCAGACCTGTGTGCCTCCCTATTGCCGGTCTAAACATGACTGATCCTGGAAAGAGCTGGGTGACATACTATGGCCCCACAGCAAACAGAGGTGAGAGTGCCACCACTAGATGGCGCCAGAGTCCAACTCATAAAATATGCATGTACTAAAATCTTTGTGGAGAGACAACTAGTTGAGCTGTTTGGTGTCTTTGTCAGATTCTGGTTCTCTGTACCTGAAGGAAGCTCCAGTATCACTCATCCCCTCCGCAGAGTGCAACAGCTCCGAGGCATACAGGGGCAGAATATCCCAGGAAATGCTCTGTGCCACAAAGATGGAAGCAGGAGCCACTATGTGCAATGTAAGACTAATACACACCAATGACATGTATCAAAAACAACTGACAGGCCTGGCCTAACGATCCAGCCGTACAGCTGCTGCATTGTGTTCAGTTGGGTATCTGCTGAGATGTTATCAATATGAACTCATCTGATGCTGTAAAAGAGAGCACTCAGGCCAACGTCTGCCTGGTTTATCAACCACAGACAGATAGGATTCTGTTCCAGAAAGAATTTAAAGTATTTTTATGAAGTTGTGTAACTGGCTTTAAGACACAGTTAGACAAAACCTGTATTATGCCACGCAGATGGAAACAGATTAAAATAAACACATTTTTGTAACTTATAACAAGCTGCTTATACAGCCATCCTGATAATGGATGTTCAGTTAAAGCTCAGCAGAGGCAGCTGATCATGATCTCACAGTACTGAAAGTATTCAGGCCTCTTCATCGATGAAGGAAATCTCTATCGGACACTTTTCAAGAACATCAGTCTCAGTGTTTCTGTTGAACTTTGGGATCACAGAGTGGTCCTTTGTGATCTGGTTGAATCTGATGTTGACTTTATTTGTCTGGAACTTCCCTTCAGCCTGACAGTGGGGGTCCTCTGGTGTCCCACATGGATGGGCTGTGGTGGCTAATGGGTGAGGGCGTGTGGGGGGAACACTGTAATGGACAGAATAAACCAGGTGTCTATACCAACATCAGACACCATCTGGACTGGATCTACTATCAGATGCAGGTAAAAATGACATGCTGATAGAGTATATACTCCTCATTTCCTGTTTTAATTGTAATTGATATGGGTTAACGCTAGTGGTTTTGTTTTTATATTGCTGCTTGTTTTAATTTTATTTATCATATGTGGACAAAGTGTAGAAGAAGAAGCCAAAACAAACATAAAATATGAAGGTTTTAATGGTTAACATGATTAACATCTTGGAATCTTTCCTTAAATATTTTTTGGAAGCTAATTATAATGTGAAACAAGAATAAAACTAATGTTTTGTATCCGCTTTGCAAGTAGCATGGAATCAAGTTCACAGCAGTGTTTCTGTTTTGTTTACAGAAGCATCAAGATGCCTGAAACTGCGACCAAAGAGGATCGGCCTTGAAAAAAGATTTTTGTTGTAACATTTCTTAACTTAAGATTTTAAAGCTGGATTTGTAATTAATTGTGTGTAATACTGATTGTTTTATTTTGAGTTAATTACATAAAATAATGCTAAATATTTCCATAGGCTCTGAAAAACACAGATCAGTTATACAATTACCTTATTAGGTTATATCCATCACTAGAAAGTCAAAAAGTTTACAAAGAGGAGCTTGATGCCACTCCAGCTTAGTGGATTTAAATCTGGACTTTGACTAGGCCACTCCTAAAGTTGCTTTAAAGCCTGAAGTTCTCTGAGCTTTAAGTTTGATGTGGTGGAAAATCTGCTTCACGAATTAGTAGTTAAGAAGAAATAATTGTCTTATCAGTTTCAGTCCTCCAGTTCCTGAAGAAGAAAAACAGCTCCAGACCAGCCCTCTATTACAATGTTTAAGATTCAAGAAGATTTTCTTTTTCCTGTAATTTTGTAGCAACTTCCACAAAATTCTACTTTTGTCTCTTAATTTTAAGTAGATCATCAAGGGTAATGCTCAAGAAATGCAACCCTCTCCCTTGGATGTCATTGTACCAAAGATTCTTATTTACTGTTGAAGTGTAAACAGACATCTTAACTGAGGCAAATGAAGTCTGCAGTGCTTATGGATTCTTTTTCTGCTCAGATTTTTAAATCATAGATAAGCTTTTGGGAGCCGCCTTTTAAGGCCGACCACTCTTGGATAATTACTGTACTGCTCAATATTTTATTGGAAATGACTTTCTAAGCCTATCTCTATTGTTCCAGGTTGTTTTTCCTTTTTTAGATATATTTTAGACTACTACATGCTTTTAGACGCCAGGAATTTACCTTTAAATTTTAATCAGGCCTGGGTGCTAATGAATGAGATTCAAAATATTATTCTATTCACACAGTATATTAAATAAAATAAAAAAATTATTATTTTAAATATATTCTATTTCCAGTTGCTTGTGTCAAAAATAGAAACATAAATCTAGAAAGAAATTAGGCCTGCATTGTGAAACGTATAAAATATATAAATAATGCATGTTACTTATGACATGCTTTTATTTTGTAGAGTGTTTTCTTTGAGATGATGAGGTACTTATTTAAATTATTAGTAGACATTGTAGCATGACAAGAAGTAATATTAGCATTGTTGCTAATTTGTGTAGCATCCTAATAAATTAAGCAAGAAATACATACAACTTTATATGTCATCAAAATGCAGGGTGAGATGAATTATGTTGGGATGGAGGGATAAGAGGAAAAAAAAAACAGAAACAAGATTTTTTTTTTCTTTCTTTGGCTCCCAAATATTTATTAATTTAAAATGTCTGATTTGTCCCCAATTTTTTTATTTACAAAACACCTCTGATGTTTAGCACATGAAACATACACAGTTAAATAAAGGAATAATCATGTGTACCTATAGATCAAGTCTTACATGTTCAGCTTTGGGCATCGTTGTTGATTGATATCAGTTTGTGGCTCCGGATTTTTAAAGATGACATTATTCCACATAAACGTTATTTCCCGATGCAGCCTCAGCAGCGAGACCTGCTGCGTAATAACAGCCGCCGCTTCCTGTGCCACAGTGATGTGCAAATTCTTTTCACTTAGTAGTCATCAGGTCTATAAGAATATTTAGTCTTATCAACAATGAGTGGGTATTTTCCAACATATGCACATCTGGAATCCTTCCACTGTAGTGTTTGATTAATTAAATAAAGGTGCTGCATATGAATGGCCTTAAGACTTCAGGCTACAGGGTTGGAAATATCAGCACAGTCAAGGAAACTGAAATACATAAATCTGAACATGAACTGATAAAAATTACAATAACACACAAAAAAACTGCATAACACAGACATTGATCTGTTGCTTTGTATCATTCTGTTGATCAACTTCAGAAACAAAGTGCAATTCAGGAGAGTCAATCTCAACCTCCTGATATGATTTATCAGTTTGTCTGATCAGAGAGCTAAGAAACAAAGGCACTATAGTTATTTAAATTATAAATAGTCCTATGAGTGGTTGTTTGAGCAGCTTAAATCCTCCCAAACCTCCTTTTACTCGTGCTCATTTTGCTCCACTGAAGAATGGAGCAGCAGAACATATAAAGTCCTAACATTCAAATCAAAGAATTGCTTAAAGTTGTGTAGATTGCAAAGATGTGATTTATCTTTATCTTTTTTTATAATTTGGTAGAGCTTTATATGTTATGTCCTGAACTTAGTCAAATACCTTCATCAAGTGAATTCCTCTTCCCATTAGGGGCAAAGGAAAAAACAAAACAAGCCATAACCATAACCACAAGGCTTCAGTGCATTCAGGTTAATCCAAGCTATGGTCAGTGCATCATCTTCTTATCTAGACAATGCTCCACTTATTTGATTGGGAACAAGAAAAATAAACCACCGAGGAAAAAGCTGAGACACATCCGTTCAGCTCTAGCAGCGGTTTTAGGAAGTTTTCAGGAGGCGTTTTCTGAGTGGAATTTCCCTTTGAGAGGCAGCTTAACTGTCTTTTTGTCTGCCTCCATGGGTGAAGCTGATGACGTTTTGTCAGGCAGTCGGCGTGGCGATCGGGAGAGACTGACCTCCCACTCCCTACTCCACAGCTATGGACGGGCTCTGTCCGTTGTTCTCCAGCCCTTTGACCGCGCTTGCCCGTCCGTTTCCCCGCAGTCACTTGATGCGGTGGCGCACCAGCGAGGACTCATCTGTGATCTCCCCACGGTCACCGCGCCTGCAGGGCAGGAGCAGCAGCAGCAGCAGGATGATGAGGATCAGGGCGCAGACCGCCACCAGGGCGTAGGAGATCACCCACAGGACGGGCGGCTTCAGAACGCGGCCGGAGCAATCTGCTGCGACGTCTTCTGCTGAGAAGGGCCCGGCGATCTCCGAAACAGCCACTCCATTACTCACTAAAAACAGTCAAGACAGACCCTACTGTCACGTACTGTATAACCAGAGGACATAGTGATTAATTCAATATAAAAAATGGCAATCCTACATAAAAACTGCATTTTTATGTAACAACTATAAATTTGGATTACATTTTAGGTTCAACCAATAATCTTTAGAAATATAAACACGTGTTATGAAAGAAAAACTTCACATGATTTTAAATATCCTTTTTTTTTTTATTATAACTCTGAAGAATGGCAGCCTTTTTATTAAGCCCTGCTTATATCCTTCAAAAACTAGTACAACTAAATAACATTCACTTTATCAATAAATAGTCAAGATTTCTGTGATTTAATCTCACTATAAATACAGCTGCTAGGTGAAGGCCTTAGGAGTATTTAAAAAATATACTGTAATAAGCAAACAGCATCATTGAGAAAGAGGAACGCAGCAGGCTGGGCAACAATACCACATCCTAAGGCTGTATTCACTAACAATATATATCGATCGAAAGACGTGTGGCGCAATAGAAAAAAAGAGGGTTGATAAAAGCTCGATATAGAAACACACTTTTCCTTCCTTTTCATTGTAGCCTACCATGTAGGTTGATGCTACCGTCACCACATCCCACCAACCAATCGTAACCGCGGACTCAGGCATGCCTTCAACAAAGCGCCGCCCTCTCAAACCACAACACACAGCACGTGAAGATGTTGCAGCAGGAGAGGCGGAGGACATTTTCCAAAAGAAGGGTTTTAGTAACTCACCAGTTTTGCAATTTTTCGGTTAAAGCAAGTCAGACAGACACCAAACCACAATGATTTGTAAATTGCAGGGAACCAGTAAAAACAAAGTCTGGTATTTGCATTTTGTAAATCGATAAGCTTTTTTTCTATATTGTCCAGCCCTACTACATCTTAAGCTTTAGTATCTTACGGCAGTGTTGTGGTCAAGACCACCTAACCCGAGACCAAGACAAGACCAAGACCAGAGTGTATCGAGACCGAGACAAGACCAAGACATTTAGGGTCCGAGACCAAGTCAAGACCAAGACCAGCGCCAGTACGTGACAATAAAATGTGAAAAATGATCAAAATCACAAAAATTGATCTAAAAGACCCACATTCACATAAAAACACCTAGATATTTAACACACATAACTGGACTAAACATTAACATCTTTATTTAGTACTTCTGTTTAGTAATCACAGAATTTCAAACAATTAATCAAAGTCGATAAAAATAGTATTTTCTCTGCCGTTCATAAACAGTACATACATTTATGCTGTTTTTAAATGTGCTATTAAAAACACAATGTGCAAAATTCTGTAAAATGTGTAAAACTGAAAAAAAAAGCCAATCATTTCTCTTCTTTCTCTCTCATATACAGATTAAAGCTATATTATATAACTTTTCTTAAATAAATCTATATCTGTCACCAAGTTGTGAAATATGTTATGAGACAGAAAATTTGTTGAAAAAATAGATTGATCTCCTTCACTGCATTTACCAATGAGACAGGTTATTGCTTGGATTTGAATCCAAGCATCCAATAAAAAGAAGGATCTTAAAGAAACTGATAATATTCTGATGATTAGAATATGGTCTCGAGATCGGTCTTGAGACCAAGACCGATCTCGAGTACGACAACACTGAGACAGACAGAGCCCTGTTCAAGCAGAGTTCGGCACAACTTCCAACCTACAAAGACCTGATGGTGCGTCTACACTGATAAACTGAAACCAGAGCATTAACCCGAAGGGCATGAAGAGGGACCATGATACCTCTGGAGGAGCTGCAGAGATCCACAACGAAAAAGAGAATATCCGTTTCTGTAACATTAGCCATTTGTGTCACAAACCTGTCCTTTAATGGAAGGGTAGAATAAAGAAAGCAATAGGGCGTCCATACATGCAGTAGGATGCATGTATGGACATGCATTAAGGGCATCACATTCTATGTTTTTATTGGTATCACCAAGTATCTATTCCTGTATAATTAAATAGGTCAAGTTTTTTTGTACCTCAATGCAGCTTTGCATGCAGAGTGTGATGACACCAGAAGTTGTTGCTAAGGTAAACAAAGTGAGCATGGCTGATAGAACGCACTTAAGAGGAGGGCTCCACTTTCCGATGCAAATTAAACTTGTTGCAACATTCGTGAAGCGAATTACAAGGCTAGCGGTGGGAATACTTCAAATCTGGGGAAGCATCTGGTTAAGTGGAATATTCTTCAAAAATATTCCAACAGGCTCAGGTCGTCTGCAGCCAGCAACATAAGGCAGCATCATCAGCATCTTAGACTGCTTCAGGTAAACAATTCTAGGGTTTTAGATGAGGTTTCCATGGTACCAAAAATAGGTGCCATTGAATCCACACTGATTCCAGGTACAGGGCACCGTACGTATCTGTTGAAATGTTAACGGTACTCATCCCTAATATGCAGTTTGTCGCATGCTATCTAGGAGGCTCAGAAAACATGTGGAAGAATGTGTTCATGTCAGGAGAAAGATGAAACCAACATGTTTATTTTTGGTCTTTCTGCAGGATGCAATTTGAGGTGGAAAACAAACACATGAACGTACTAAACCAAACATGAAACACGCAGTTGACACAATCACGCTGTGGGCCATCCATCCATCCATCCATCCATCCATCCATCCATCCATCCATCCATCCATCCATCCATCCATCCATCCATCCATCTTCCTCCGCTTATCCGGGGTCGGGTTGCGGGGGCAGCAGCCTAAGAAGGGAGGCCCAGAATTCCCTCTCCCCAGCCACTTCTTCTAGCCCCTCAGGAGGAACCCCAAGGCGTTCCCAGGCCAGCCGAGAAACATAGTCTCTCCAGCGTGTCCTGGGTCTTCCCTGGGGCCTCCTCCCGGTGGGACGTGCCCGGAACACCTCACCAGGGAGGCGTCCAGGAGGCATCCTAACCAGATGCCCGAGCCACCTCAACTGGCTCCTCTCGACGTGGAGGAGCAGCAGCTCTACGGCGAGTCCTCCCAGATGACCGAGCTTCTCACCCTATCTCTAAGGGAGAGCCCAGCCACCCTACGGAGGAAACCCATTTCGGCCGCTTGTATCCGCGATCTTGTTCTTTCGGTCATGACCCAGAGTTCATGACCATAGATGAGGGTAGGAACGTAGATCGACCGGTAAATCTAGAGTTTCGCTGTGGGTGTTCTTTAGAAAGAAGAGATCAGACATGATGGAAAGGTCGAGATGGATGCGGGGAAAACCTGGGACCTGAAAACAACTGCTTCATCAAAGGAACCCATGTGTTAAAACAGGGCAGTCGGACAACAGAACCTAAATCCATCATAGAATCTGTATCATGACTTAAAAATTAATGCTCTCCATTCATTCTGATCGAGTTTGAGCTATTTCGCAAGAATAACAATTTCTTAATCTAAATATGCACAGCTGGTAGAGACAGCTACAGCAGCTGGGAGGGTTAGGGTTGCGTTCCCATTCGACTCTTTAGATCTGTATTTGCAACAGCTTTGGATTTATTAGTGATAATACATATTTAGGTTTGTGGTTAAAATGTGAAGAAAAAGTTTGAGGGAAATAAAGCTTGTATGTTCAGTATACTTTATAGCAACTGATGAGTGTAAATCCACGATCTAAAAAGACATTTTTTTTTAAAACAGGAGGAAAACCAGGGAGCTGAATGTGAAATTATTTTGTGTGTTGTTTTATGATATTAAGATAATTTATTATAACTAATGATAAACAAAATCTATTTAAAACAAAGTTGATCAAATGTACCTATTAGTTTCTTTAAAAAGTTGCCAGCTACAGGGCCACATCCTCAACTTTCACAGAAGCTCATCAATAGGCCCATTAATCTGTTCACCAGATCAGAGAGTAAAGCCGGCAAGTAAACGTCACAAGTCTGCATCCTCGGCCTCAGGCCAGTATCTGCTCAAAGTGCATTTGCTTAGTGTGAACAAAGGTGATCTTTGTACTTTGACATGGGAACACGAACTCTTTGCAAAGCTCATACAAACACAAAACCAAACTATTAGCCTACTTAATACCTGATGCAGCACATGAGCGGAACTTATATCTAAAACCCTCTGAGGCCGTTTCTGCACATGGAGCGAGGCTTACCTTTGGCTCTGCATATTATGCTGTGTTGGTTAAACAACCTGAACTTTAGAGTTTGCTTTTGGATTGGTTATTAATGAATCCAAGATTATACTTTGACTTTAAAAACGACTTAATGAGCTAAAAATCCTAAACTTGAACTACGTTCTTCATGTAGGGCTTTTCATAATTAACCAACACACTGCAGTTCATTTTTGGACAAGCAAAGAAAACAACACTACATTTCTCTCCAATAAGATTGTGTAAATAATAATGTAACATGCTTTCATATCTGATGCTGAAGCTTCCACCTAATGAGCTCAACAAGGCATGGCGTCTTCAGAGTGGCATGCAATGCTAGTTAACAAACAGCATTTTGCATGTATGCCATGAAGTTCAGTTTTACTGTCATGTGACCAGAGCATCTTCTCTCACATGTTAGCTTTGACCACTGCATGCGTTTCTGCAGTCTTTCTTCTGGACTTCGTATAACTTTCATCTTCCCAGTTGCCTATAAAGGCCTGAATTGGTCCTTAGTCTTTATGATGCTGTTTGTTCACAGACGTTCTCCCCTGTGGTCTTAAGAGAACAGCTGGAATTATACTTTGATTAGATTCAAACACAGTTCAGCTATACTCGCTAAATTAGGGTTTCTTAACCCTGGTCCTCAGGGCCAAATGTCCTTCATGTTTTAGACATGTCTCTACTCCAGCACACATGATGCAAAAGATTGCATTTCCTCCTCAACAGCCCCCAAATGCTGCAAATGCCTGTTAATTACCTTTTTAGTAAGGTCAGGTGTCTGGAGGCAAGGAAACATCTAAAACATGTAGGACAGAGGGCCCTGAGGACCGGGTTTAAGAACCTGTTCTAAATAATTAGCGAAATCTGAAGGTCATTCAAATTTTATTTTATTTTTTTTGAGTTAACAGAGTAAAGGGGGGCATAATACAAATGCATTAAACACTTTTTAGTTTTCTAGTTGTAGAAAATGCTGAAACCATTTGTTTCTTTCCACTTCTCAGTTTTGGACTCATTGTGTTCCTCTTTAATCTCAATCCCAATAAAACACTTTCAAGGTTTTAGGTTGTAAGATTGCAAAATACATATTAGTTTTGGGCCATTGTGAGTATTTTCTGTGGAAATATTTAACACTAAGGAGCATCATCAGCTACATTGCTGCGTTGAGCCATTTATCCACATGTTGCTACATCTAACCAACATTTTAAAGAGGCCAGATAAGTCCAAGAAAAACATTAAAAATGATAAGCAGCAGGAATAAGTTTAGCAGATTACTAAAATAAACTGGTAACAGACACTGAGAGTTCTTATTCTATTCATAAGTGGATGTTTAAAAGGCATTGTTTCCTTACTTGCACAGTTGCTGAGAGCGAAGCCCAGTCTCCTCTGGGCGCGGTCGAACACCACATAGAAACCTTCCATAACGGTGGCTCCAATCACCAATCCGTTAGCCGAGGAAGATACGCCAAAACGGAAGCAGTCCAAGTCCTCCAAGTCTCCGATTGGTTGGATGTAAAGCTGTAATGTGACAAAATAACACCATATATTACACCTCATAAAGGTCCTCTGGGGGAAGGTGGAGCAGGGATTTTCCTTTCTGTGCATAGCTACCTGAGGCAGGATAGTAATGCGGAAGGACTGGCTAGAGTTGGTGGATCTTAGGTAGATTGAGATCTTTGGGAAAAACTCCCAGGGGGTTTCACCCTTTGTCCAGCAAGCGAGTTTGGTGCCCTCCCAGAACCCTGCAGAAAAATTATCGATCTAAATCAAAGAGAGGGGAAAAAAAAAAAAAGAGTTAAAATGAAAAAGACAGGCAGCGTGAATGATAAAGGAACAGAAAGAGAAGGTCACTTTGGCACCAAACACGTTTTGATGTTGTCTTTCATTTGACAGCTTTGCAAGAATGAGAGCATGTTACAGGCAAATGTTCAAATTGATCGTGAATGTAGTTTCAAAAGGTGAAAATGCCTAAAGAATCTAAAATAAACAGCTGCATGGAGGTAGCATACTTACTTTCCAAGCAGGAACCCCCTGAACCCTTCTACCTACAGCTGCTGCATCCCTAAACAGTAAGGATCAACTATTCTCTCTCTGCCTCCCTTTGCTCTGACAACCTGTTTCATCATCGTCTGTGAGAACGAGGCAGCGTACCGGTAAGCTGCTTGTGATGGCTTCCACCACCGCACTGAAGACATTGGCAGGAAGTCTCAGCAGCGTTGTCCCGCTGTCAACTATGGCTTTATCTGAGTTATACTGGGGGAAGAAAAAAAAAAAAGAAAAAAAAGAGAGAAATGAACAACATTTTTTTTCTTAATACAACAGGCCTCTGAAACACCGTAAAAAAGAACGATAAAAAACAGGGAGTTTTTTTTTTTTTTTGTTTTGTTTTTTTTACAAGCAGGCAAACTACATTCCTCAACAGTACAGCAGGTGCTCTACATTTATGTAAATGATCCACTAAAAATAACCTTAAAAAAATCATCCAACAAGCAGATCTTTAGTATTAACAGTCTCTCTGTTGCTCAAGGACAGCTACTATGCTGCAATAATAGTTGTAGTAAAGATGTGTGAAAAACCTTTAAGTTAATCTTCTTTTGAAAAATACATTTTATTCAACATTTATTTGTACAAGAAAAAAAATAAAATACATAACTCCACCACTTTTATTTAAGTTACACATGGAATCTTGGGAGTTCCACGTCTCAATATGAATCAGACTTGATCTGATTGGTTTGGATGCCATCACAAACATAAACATGTTTCATTTTACTGAGGACAGCAAGCTCTGGACAGCTAATAATGGAATTTTTGGCAACCAATTTTGCAGATGGTTTTAGAGGAACAGAAAAAAAAAATAAGGAGAAATATCACGCTCACTATTAAGTATGGAGGAGGGTCTGTGATAATATGGGCCTGTTTTTTTGCTAAGACCCCCAGGAATCCTGTTAATATGGCTGCTTATATATGTAAAAAGTTATGATTATGTCTGTGATCTAACTGAAATCCCAGTTACTATTATTTACACTGGAAGAAAATTGTATTTTTGAACATGAATAAGTATTAGCAGTTATCCAAACAAAGGGCATAAAATAATAGATGAATAACAACATAGATTAGCTACTTCCACAGTACATGGTATCACTTGAAAATTCATTATAAAATATGTTAATGCATAAATGTAAGATTATAAAATAAATAAGCTATAAAAAATTTGCTAACATTTGAGAAAAATCAAAAGATCATGAATGTACATTTTTGAAATAATAAAAAATCTAAATCAAACAAATTTAAGTCATTTTCAATATTAGGTGCTCATGGATTACCCACTGATTAAATTGAACTAATTTGGCTTCTGTTCCCGTTATTTGTTTCTTTAAATCAAATGTTTTCCCATACAAATTAAGTTTTGCCTTTTAGAGTTGAAACAATAAATTTTATTTTTTGTCTCATTAAAATAACTGCCAATTAATTTGGTAATCAATTGTTAAGTATACAGAAAAACAATTTGGACCAGAAAGTAAACAGTAAAAAAAATTATAATAATTAAATATATTTTGCATGTAAGATGAAAAAGCTTCTTTGTCCGTACATATTCTCTATCCAGAAGTCCTTAATCTGCAAAGTTTTGCTGAACGTTGTTCAAATTCCTTAAAAGATCTACTATAAAAAGTTTTTTTGGTAACTGATTATTAGTCGATACATCAATAAAATAATAAACACATAGATTATTAGCCACATAATAGTTGCTACTGCCTTTCTTGTTTGCTAAACACTGTCCTTCCTCCTCTGCCTTTCTTTTTCTGCAGTTTTGTCACAACAGCCATTTAAGGACGGTTGGTTCATCCTTCATTTCTCAACATGACTATATCCATGTTTAATAAATCAATTTAAATACTGAATTTTTCAGGTATTTTCCATATGAGATCATGCAGCTCAAATAAAAGATGGCTTCCTTATAAGGCTTGTAACACATCTTTACCAGCAGTGGCGATAAATGTGGGAAGCATTTTATTTAAGTCAGACAGTGCAGAGCTTGATGTTTACCTCTTTACAATCCAGATTCAGATTCTGATTTCCAACTTCCAGCTTCAACACCTCCACCTGGTAGTACCACTCCTCTACAATAGGGGTGTACCAAATCGGCCCCCGATACAGAGTTGGTTCAGCCCCACCCATTATCTAGGAAAAAAAAAAGCAAAGGTTCATCCATCTGCTCACATTCTGGCCCAGCACACTGCATAAACACACAGAAGCCTCCTACCAACTAATCCATCTGTCAGCATCAGAGGGTGCAAGGTGCCAAGGTTGTGTGTGCAACAGCGACAGACCTGCTCTCAGCAGGAAGCTATTTTAGAATAATAAGCTCCTCTCTAACCAGAATAGGCATCCAAAGGGAAAATTTGCTGACACACAGGACATCAGCTATTATGTTTATAAACTGCACTCAGCTGCTGTCTGGTCAATTAATGTTTAATCATTTTGTTGAGTAGAAAGTACTGAGAAACATTCCAGTGGTTCAGCACAACCAGGACGGTATGGTAAACTGTAATAAAACCCTAAAGCTGATATCAAACAATTTCAAAATGTTATCAGATTACAAATTAATATAGTTTATTATTTAGGCAACCTTATGTTGCCATTGTGGATACTCACAAGACTGCCAGCAGGAGGGTCGACCACGCTGCTGGTTGACAGTCCATTTCCGCACATTTGGAGAGAAAAGGTGTTGGGGATTCCCAGCTGCTTCACCATCGAGTTGAAGAACGGCTCCACAGAAGAGTCCGGCTGATTGAAAGACAGGAAGCAATGCACTATAAGCATAATACTTGAACTGGTGCCTATTTTGTTTTACAGAAAACAACCCCTAGTGTGTATTTTATTTGGATTTTATGAGATACACTAATTAGCATATGAATCTGAAATGGATGAGAAATGATCCAACGTGTTTTCTTTTCCTTAACAAGTAAAAAGAGGCACAAACTCATTTTCAAACCCTTTTACACAAATATCCCAAAATATTCCAGTGCAGCAGGACTGTTTTCAGGTTACTTAGCGGCTTCATCTGTGGTAATTTGATCTCTATGAAGACCTCAGAGGTTTGCTAGAGAACATTAGCGAACAAACAGCAAATGCTCACAAGCTTTCTTCCCCTTTTAGTCTAACACCATCAAATTGGTCATAAAATAAAATTCTCAAACTTTTAACATTTCATAGAGCATTGTTTAATCTATCACTTGAAAATGGAAAGATGAAGACACGGCTGTAGATCTAAAAAGATATGGCAAGGCCCAGCAAGGAGAGCTTTAATCACAGGACCACCAAAAACGCCCATAGTAACTCTGGAGGAGCTGCAGAGACCTAGATCTCAGATGGGAGAGTCTACTGATTAGGTTTAGATGTATACTCAAATACACAAATCTGACTACTGAAAGACTGACAAGAACAGAAACTGTTCAAATTAAAGCCAAAAGTAGTATGATCTAAAATTAGCGTCAGGAAGACGATGCTCTAGGCCAGGCATGTCCAAAGTCGGTCCGTCTTCGAGGGCTGCTATCCTGCAGGTTTTGGAGTTTTCCCTGTTTCAGTCCAGCAGATTTCCATTGATAGCTGATTAACAGGCTTTTGCTGAACTGCAATCATCAAAATCAGCTTTACTGAAGCAGGGAAACCTCTGAAACATGCAGGACAGCGGCCCTCAAGGACCAACTTTGGACATGCCTGCTCTAGTCAGATCTGAAGTAAAGGCCTATATGCAAAACCTTGCATGTGTTTGAAAAGACTAAACTAGGCAAGTGTACTAGTTAGTGAGTATGTGAGCGAGTGTAGGAGTGAGCTAAACTTTATTTATATATTACCTATCTATCTAGAACTAAAAGTGGTGTAGGAACAAAAAAAATTAACATCAATGCATCCAGGAATCAAAAGCAGTTGTTTAAAATCCAACGCTGCTCATCACCCTGAACACACCCTCCTCTGTGAACACGGATGACAGCGAAGAGGGGTTTTTTACCTTTATCAGATGCAGGATGTAAAAAAGGTCTATTAATTGTTCCAAGAATAAGAACAGAGTCGCACATTGCAAGAATCACATCAGTCTGTTTAGTTCTGCTCTAGGACAGAAACTTATCCTCTTTTTTTCATATCCGATGTCTCCTAACTTCTGTAAACATCTCTAGGTGCCTATGGGCTGGGTAGACAATGGTGTCTTTCATCAAGCTTGACCTTACATGTACCTTACACGTACATGCTTGACCTTACAAAACTTGATCTTATCCTACATGTAAATTTATCCTAAATGAATTATTTAGAACTACAAAGCACATTAAAACAGCAGATATGCAAGAAGCCAAAAATAAACATGTTGATAATCTCAGAGCAAAGATGCAGAAGTGTTTCAAACAGATCAGTGAATAGAGGTGACAGAGTGCAAAGGGAGCGATGGGTTCCTTTTTGGTCCAGTTTTCAGTCTATTTATTCTTATAGGAAGGTTTATTATTTAAAAGTCAGTGAAATTGTTTATGTGTATTTCTTCAGCTTAGCCTGAGGTCATGTTCCTATTTTTCTGTGCCTGTCAGAAACACAGTATCTGCTGTAGGCAAAAAACATGGTGCTAACTAGAATAATCACAACTGATGGGGCAGAGGGAGCCATAATCGACTGATAAAGACTGGTTGAGGACCAATGAGAAATCAGATTGGATTCAACAAGGGTGCTATCTCTACAGAGAGGAACCTCCCCCCATATAAAGGGCTTGGATAATTCTGACGTCATACTTTTATAAGAGCTGTGTGACTGCTAAAGGCTGATATAGAACCAAGGCTTTTGTGCTGCCACATGGTCAGGGCAGAACATTTTCCTCGCAGCATGTTTGAGAACAGTGGTGGGATTGGTCAGGATTTGGATGGCTGTTGTCGTTAAATAGGAAAAACGGCGATGATTTGAAGACTTCATACAGTGATCCGTTATGAGATCAGTAGTTTGAGCAATGGCTCCCCAAGTATATATATATATATATTTATATATATATACCGTAATTTTCTGACTATAACCCGCAACTTTTTCCCCATTTTTCAACTTTGCGGCTTATATAACAATGCGGCTTGTCTGTGGACTTTTACAGCTAACGGCCACTAGTGTAATACCTAAATCTATGGATTTTACCATCCACCATGTTGACGTCACATTTGCTTCAACACACAAGTACGGTAGCTGTGCGCGGGGGAATGCAGAGGTCCTCCGAAAGCAGACTTCTACCGCGAGTGATACGAGACAGAACGACAGCGAGTCCGGTGTGGCTTGTATATGAACAAATCATGCAATTTAGCTTTTGAGGCTTATATATATATATATATATATATATATATATATATATATAAATATATAATAAAATATTTGAGCATATATAGTCTTATCAATCAATGCCTCCTTATCAATCTAAGAAATGTTTCTTCTGCCCCTGTGTTTTCCTTTGTGAATAGGACGTACACTACAGTGGATGGGATTTTCCATACTTTTGGCAGCTTAGCTAGGTAAACCTTTTTTCCACGGTAGTTCTTGCTATCACAAAAAGAACAAGAACACATTTCTCTGTACTTGTGGGGTCTGGATCAAGCTTAAGTTATGCTCTTCTCCAAACTCCATGTAAAATATTGTGAGAAGTTTAGCCATATATTTTAATAAATTGGTTGAAACTTGATTCTGAACTCTAGCTTTTGTATTATATAGTACTTCTAACATTTCTGATCTTGATTCCTTTAAGATCCTAACATGCAGCTGGTAAAATGCAATATATTCCAAACAAGTTGAAATCAGACACAAAAAAAACAAAAAAATAACTTCTCCAGGTATGAAAACTTTTGCAAGGCCCTGTAATTTGCAGAATTTTTTTTTTATCTTACATGATGCTATTAAAAAGCCAGTCTTGATAAAAGTTAAAAGCTGCAATGTGTGCATGAACAGTACATTTAAAAACAAACTGTATTTCACCTTCTAAGCAACCGTTCTTTCTTTTATGGAGATAAAGATTTCCATGTTAGTTCAGTGGTAAGCCAAGCATAACAAATGGTCCTCTAGGCAAATAAAACCTGATCTTTTGAAGACAAAAACAGCACAAAGTGGTCAGTGTGAGCATACTGTATCTGCTTTTAAGTGACTGGCATTTGATCCAGAGGGTGACTCTGGAGAACAACTAAAGAAAGAAAGTCCTGTACTGCTCCTGACTAAATTATCACGCCCAAAGAAAGCCAACACCTGGTAAAAACATTTGGATTGTCACATTTCAACATTACAGTCTGGTGAAAAAGTATGCATCTATTTGCTGATTTCAGTTTTTTGTTTCTCTCCAATTTCAGATCATCAAAAGTTGGTTTTCAAATGAAGATTTTTTTTTTTAAGTGAATAAAACAATCCAAGCCACTGTAACCCTATATGATAAAGGATAGTTTTTTGAGATTGATATACTAACAAAGAATTTAAATTATGTACTGTATTCTACTCAAATTGATGGCAATAATCTGCCAATTATTGCTTGACAGCAATTGCTTGTGTGTCTGACCAATAGTGTGAATTGCACTAGTGGTCAGACTCTGTGGGAAGAATTCTTGGAAAATCATGATCTACATTCTTTAAATAAGAAGTCTCACCATATGCAATTGCCCAGCTGCAGCTGCACTGGCAGATATTTTAATTTTTTTTAAGTAAAGTTTTCCCAAAAGAATAGTAAAAATCCAACAGAATTGGCTCTTAGTATATAAATCTCAAAAACAAGAACAAAAATACATTTTGAGTAGACCCAAGATTACAAGACTTAGTTAGATGGACACTTTTTTCAGTGCACCTAAAGCTCAAGGTCATTTGGTTTCTGCAGCAAAACAATGATTCAGAGTCCATCAGCAAATCTACCTTTAAATGGAAGGAAAGACACAAAACAAAGGTTTGAAGGACGTAGGTTTAAGCGGTTCAGGTAAGATATGGACTTAAAACTAACTGGGATGCTGTGATACGCCTGTTCATAATATCAAATCTTCCTACATCTACTGTAGATGAAATAAAATACCTCTGCAAAGCAGATAAGGGCAATTTTTCCCCTACAGACTCATTCTCTGAGTGCCGATGTACTAGGGTGTAGGGATATGGATTTTGGCCAGATGTGTTTGTATATATATCTATATATCTATATATATATCTATATATATATATATCTATATATATATATATATATCTATATATATATATATCTATATATATATATATATATATATATATATATATATATATATATATATATATATATATATATATATATATATATATATATATATATAGAGTGTGAATATTGGATAAAAAAAACATTGAAGTTTAACAGGAAGGTTACTCTAAGTTAATTTAACTGCAATTAGAGGGAGAGGGGGTATGAAAATAAGTTCTACTTTTTCATACCCCCTTTCAGACAACTTACATTAGTACATTACTTTAATGATGTCATTTCGATGGATGTATATGCCTACAGGTTTATTTTGGCGGAGGCTTTTGTATCTCTTTATGTTCAGGTGAATTTATTTTGGAAATTGGTGGTTGGTTTGGTTGATGTTAATTAGTCTCTTTTGTGTGTATTTGGTTGATTTATTTATTGTTTTTTGTCAAATTGTCTGAAATAAATTCTTGAATGAATAAAATTAAATGGATTTTTAAATTTTTTTTGTATTAATGCTGGTTATTGCTTCCTGACTTTAACATATGTTTGACGATCTAAAACCTTTAAATGGGATAAAAAAGCATAAAAAGAAGAAATCTATACAAGGGTAAATACTTTTTTCGTCTCATCAAAAAGATGTGAATCAAATCCATTCAGAATCTCCGTATGGAATACAGAGGAAATAAGATTAAACCAATTTGAAAACAAAAGCAAGTTAAAGAGAACAAAGACGTGCATGTCACAGTGGACTGATGTAAATGAATTAGGATAATATATCCATTCTGTTGTCATGTGAAAACATCAATGAAAACATCTAGATATGATCTCAGACTGAAAAGAATGCGTAACCCTAACTAATATGCAGAGCATTACCTCACACAGTCCTGCTTGGCAGATAAAAGGTAATATCAACTAAATCATCTCCATTTGCAAAGCTATTTTATTGCTCTGATGCATATGTGTTTCTTTGACCGCATTTCATGCACTGTCAGGACACTACAGCAGCTTCCGCGGTCTGTTTACTCATGTTGGAGCGGCATGCTAAAGAACAGAAAAGAACATCTGAGCAAAATAAATGTCAGGCTAATATCTCTATTTGGTGGTGTTGTTTTTTTAAAGGTCTTACTGGGTTAAAATTAAAGAGCGTACATCTCACCATTGCCAGCATAGGGTAGGCCAGCCCCAGAATGCCTTGCCAGTTGATCCCAGGCAAAAAGAAGCTGTCAGATGATAGGATGGACGCAATGTTAACAGCGATGGTTCTATTTGGTCCGTTTGGGATGGTGACGAGGTCCGTTCCCAGCTCGCCCTCCCAGTTGCCTTGTGTGTATCTGACAGCTACTAAGCGACTAGTTGACTGGTAGGTAGTGGAGCTGCAGGGACAGGAAGAAGCCGAAGAGTGTGAACAGAAGTGTGCAGGTGTAGAGTACCTTATATTAACATCGTCTGTGTCATAAAAAAGAGGGAACAAAGCTAAAGCATAGATGCATCTCAAGAAATTAGAATATCAAGAATAGGTTTATTTCAGTAATTTAAGAACTGAAGCTCCTACAGATTAACTGCAAAGAGTTTTCTGTTAATTTTGATGAATGCTTCCAAAATTAATTTCCTCAAAAAGTTGAATATAACACAACGTGATCAATTAAATGATTTCCTCCTCCTGACATGGATCTCACCACAGTATGCAAAGTCAATACTTGATTTGTGCTTTTTTTTCATTAATTATGAGACCAATGCTCCTTCTGTTCTGTTGTCTCTTATCGCCACCGTGGTTTCTCTATTTGCCTAAATCCAACACAGTGAAAGGTATGGATTCCTTTGGCAGTGTGGGCAGGCGTCAAGAACTGCAGGAAACCAAAATTAGGACTGTAATAAAGCTCGTTTGCAGAGGAAGCTAAGGTGTGTATACATTTTCCTAGCAGGGAGCATCCTGTGTAGCACCAGAACTATTATGAACTGTGGAAACCAGTGGACTTCTCTAGTCTTCCTGTGGACTCATAATTTCATTAAATGCAAAGTTTAATAAAAATTCAAAGTGAAGTTTTGGTTTAATCCCCTTTATTTTTTAGCTCCGTTGATGGCTCCAATGTCTCTGGTTCAGTAGAGAACCATGTCCTGCTTTAGTCTACAGTGACTATAAAGCTGCGTCTGAATGTCCGTCCTAACATCTAAATCCTTCAATCACTATATAGAGCGGGACTATATAGTGGACTTAATAGTGAACTCAGTTAACTGACTGTTCTGAAAGACTTTTCACTTAACGTTGTTCACATAACGTACCTGCGGCATCTTTGTTATTTGTCGCCGCTATCTGGTAGCGACAGCGGGCCACTATAACAACAAATCCCATGATGCTTTGGAGGAGAGTTCACCTCCCAAAGCATTCCAGGATATATCTGCCTGTCTGGTGACCATGGAAGATCACTACTTTTCCTGGTGCATTGTCGGAAATTTCAAGTCCACTACTTTTTCATCCACTAGACATTCTGACACTCATCTAAAATGGCGTAACTGCTATATAGTGCCCTATATAGCAGTTAGGGCAGAAATTCGGAAACAGCCTAAGTCTTCAGCTCCAGTCTGTGATCATCAAGCCTGCGGTTATCCCTGTGAATTTTCGACTTTTGTACTGGATCTTTTCCTTCCGCTAAACTTTCTATTGCTAGGATACAGCAATCTGAACACCCAGCTCCTCAGGTTGTGGTTTCCTCAGATTCACCCTCTTTGTGAAGTGAGTCAATGACTCTTCTCTCAGCAAGTGCCAAGTCTGTCTTCACCATGACTGTATGGTAATAACATTTCTGCCATAAAATGTTTTTAATTGGTTGGTTATACTTTTCTGAGGAAATTGAATCAGGATTTCTCATTGGCTGAGGGCCAGAATCACAATAAACAAGAGAAATAAAAATCTGGAAAATCCCTACATGTTTAATAATTAAGTATTTCCACTAAATTACTTGAATAACTGAACTTTACACTTAATGAGAAGAATGTTTATTATTTCTGTGAAAATCTCTCTGCACACATTAATGCCAAATTATGATCTACAACTGTAACAATCTAGTTATTTTGGAGAGTATGCAGACATTTCCACACAAAGTGTCACTCACAGCTTAGTGTTGAAGTAGCGAGTAATGTATGGGTGTGGAGCCGAAGCCACAGCAAAGTTGCTGCTGCCTGTGTCCACCAGGATGTTGAGCTGAAACACACAAGGAAGAGTTTGCTTTAACAAACAAAGTTATCAGCTACCCTTCCTTCCTTGTATAAATAACTCACTTGGAAAAAAAACACTGTAAGAAATGACAGCAGAGAAGCAATCAGTCTACAATAGGTTATGCATTTTATTTCATTGAGGGGATTAAATGGATTAAAATTGAAAAAAGAACCCACTGTCTTAGTGGTTACTGTAATGTGACTTCTTCTTTTTGCGGACAGAAAATAAAAGATAAACTTGTCACTTTGCTGGTTGTACCGTCTCCATGATCACAAAAACTGCTGTTAAGCAAAGAGACACATTGTGACATAATTACTTTCTATCTGGTAGACGATCACGACAGCCCTGAGCGGCGGGCATGAACATACGCCCTCGCCAGCCGTTTGGGTATGTGTCATGTGTGGAACGGCAAGCAGCGATGGATATAATTCTGTCTTCCAGGCAAGTTAGCGAGCGAGCATCAGCTAATTAGATAGTGGAGTCCTGTCACCTCCTCGGCTCCATCAACCATCACTGAAAACCACTCCTTGCTATGGGAAGGCCCCACAACCACATGTTAGCTCCCACATCTGTGGAAACTCTGATTCCTTCAACCAGCAGGTGATATCTAAGATCAGCAGTCTTTTACTGTAAGCAGTGGACAAGCAGGAAGTAGCTTAAAATACTAAAAGTGTAGAGGGTGAAGCCAATAACTTCCTCATACTTTGCTTCTAAACCTGTTTAATGAATGCTTCCTCACTGTTAAGCAAAGGTTTGTGTTTAGACATTATGCAATGATATAATAATCAACGTTTTATTTTATTTACTTGTTCTTATAAAGTTTCAATCGGGTTATGAGTTCCTTCTTTCAGAACTTGTTCTGGTCTTTTCACTGTCATCCTAAAATCCCCAGCATCACCTTGTTCACAGCAGGAATCCGTTGCCAAAACAAGCCAAACAAGCCTGGCTGGAAAATACCGTAAACTTGTGAGAAGGGACAGTAAAAGGCACTTTTTCTTGTCTCTGTGTGTCTCTCTCTCTCTCCCACTCTTGTCTCAGCAGCCTGCAGTTGAGCGTTTGCTGCCTAATTGGCAGCGGCTCCATGGTGGCAATGTGCATCTGCTACCTGTTTGTACCAATTAGCAGATGGGAGAGCTCTCCGCAGCCTCTCTCAGCCCGGCTGTGCCACATGTTAACAGATGCAGCAATTAGAGGCTGATTTGAATAGCGCCTCGTTTAACACCACGGCCCTGTAATCACATCATGATTTAGTTAGCATAATACGGAGAGTGTGACCCAATCGTATTGAATTACAGGACATTCTGGCAACAAATAACCAATTGAAACCAAAGTGGATTGAGCTCTGCTGGCGTGAATAACTGATGTAATGGACTCGCTGTAATTATGCCAGAGAGGAAATGTTTATTGGCCATTTTATCTGAGCAGGAATAGCAAAAGGTGGTACAAAATACATACATTTTAAGTATATCTATGTAAAAACAAAATAGGATTTTTTTTACCACTTGAAAAGGAGAAACAGAGGGAGAAAAGACAGAGGAAAAGGAAGAGCAGACTAAAAGAGATCAGGTAAGTACATGAAGAAGGAAGAAAGGACCAAGGCAGACGGAAAGGACAGAAGGTTATGAGATTACCAAATGGATTTAGGAGAACTGCAAATATGTTTATGTTCTTAAAAAATCTTACTTTAAATTCGTCAGCCATACCTGGATGGCAAAAAACAAATTCCGGACTTTTCCTAACTTCTCCAAACTGCATTTACCTGCACAGTTTTTACAGCTTATAATTAACTCGCCTATCAATCCAAAGTAGAGATACGTCCAAATAATGACACTTTAGCACAGCATAAACAGTAATGCAAGATAATTTACTAGAACTGCCATAGAGGTGTTTCCTTTTCACCCTGTTCCTTTGCTCTGTGTATGGAGAAAGTGACATGAAACAGACCTCAAGCAGGAGTCAGTCATCTGGTACATCAGAAAACATATGTGAGGAAATACAAACATCATTGACTGAACTTCACATGGCTGAACTTCCAAAGGATCAGTGCTGGCTGAATTAGCAGGTTACTAAAACTAGTTATTAAAACTAATGTATATCTCCTTTTTCATCATTCTATCAATATTCTCCCACTCTGCAGTATTTGTCAGTTCTATCTCGAACGTTCTGCTCTCTTTGTTTTTTCTCATAGTAGCTTCATCTGGTCTGTGATTCCATCCTGGAGAGAAATATCAGCTGTGCTGCTGCCATCAACACCTTTGTTGATAGATGTTGGAGATTGGCCTGTTTTTCCAGTGAAGTCCTGTTTCTCTGACTGTGCCTGGCTGGATGAGGTCTCGTTCTGTCCTCTGACTTTGGAGCTGTCTCAGAGCGCGTCTGCCTGACTGTGTGTTTCCTGGACGGGGCCGCCTGTGGAGCTGGTTGACAGTTGCCTTTTGTGTCTCTGCATCTCTCTGTATGTCTGCTTCTGTCTCCTTGATCTCCAGTCGTCCTCAGCAGATGGCCGCTCACACCAGAGATGGGGACTCGAGTTTGTGACTCGTACTCGAGTCGCACTTAAGTCGCATATTTAATGACTTCAGACTCGACTTAGACTTGCATTTAAAGGACTTCAGACTCGACTGAGACTCGTGATTTCCGACTTGTGAACAATATTTTATTCCAGTGTAAAAACACTTATTCAAGTGTTTTTTGTTTTACTAACTTGACTGATCGCCGCTCGCCTTACTCGCACACAGAAGAAAACTCAAAGACCCAAACCGTGAAGCACTCAAGTTCAAGTGTTTTATTTATACAAAAAGCCACAGCAAAAGTGGCATAATAAAACAGTCCTTTTCTTCTCCTGATAAAACCTAAAATTCAAGAGTTTTCCTTAAAAATCAGAGGCTGGAAGTTGGGCTCCGCTTGTTCTGCTGCTTCTGGTGCGCGAGTGATCAGCCTGCAGCACTCACTGGCTGATCCACAGACTCTGCGGCGCTCCAGCACTGTTCCACTCCCTGGCGTGCCAAACCCCTTTCCAGACCGATCCAGCTAAAAAGAGAAGCAAGGAGAACGCCAGCATCCACGCGCCAAAACCCCGTCGGAAGATATATGCCTGTTTATGCTTTAAGCGAGGGGGAGCGCTACTTACAGGCGAGGTTCCTCCTCTGCCCTAATACTCCTTACTGCGCCATCAGTGCGCACGGATCCCGCCTGCATCTTCCCCAGCAGCGCGTCCGTCTCCATCACCTGCAGATTCCGTTCTCCTTCTCCTTTCCTTCAGACTCCTTTTATGTCGGCTTTAATCAGCCCTTGCTCACACCTGAGCGCAGCATTACGCAGCGCAATTAATGCACTCCGCCTCCTCAGACAACTACTTCAGTCCAGTGCGCATGGATTGTCACAAGGGAAAAACAAACCAAAACAACCCAACATGCAGGAAAAATTCAAAAGTCTAAAATAAAGGAAAACAATCATATAAAAAAGAAACATCCAAACATGCAAAGCTTAAGAAGAAAATACAAAGAAAAACAAATCATATCTTCCTATCCAAACATGCAAAGCATAAAACTAACATTAAAATGAAAGAAAACCATAAATCATATTTTTCCCTGTGCAACACACTGACGTCACTGACGCGACATCACGTGGACGGCAGGATTGTGATTGTTTTTTTTTCCACAGTCCTCATTTTCAATAAAAGAGCAGACATTTACTGCTAAAACTAGAAAAAGTTGTAACCACAAATGTCAGGAAATACTGTAAGAAAATGTTAAATTTATCTGGAAAAAAATTTTGTGTGTGCTTTTTTTAATTGTATTTTTCATTTAGCAGTTCAAGATAATGATAATTCCATAGATATAATAGCGCCCTTTAAGCTATACCGTCTCCGTGATAGAGATGAAAACACAAGGAGAAACAAGCAAGCACAAAAATTATTGCACTTTTTAAAATTAATCAAGTGATTAGAATTTTTTGTGCGATTAATTGATTATTGCGACTTGAGACTTGACTTGGACTTGAGCTCTCAAGACTTGAGACTTGACTTGGACTTGCAAAAAATGACTTGTGAACATGTCTGGCTCACACTGAGCCTGGTTCTGCTGGAGGTTTCTTGATGTTAAAAGGGAGTTTTTCCTCTCCACTGTTGCTACAAACATGTTTGGTGTGAAGGATTGCCTTCAATGAGTCAATGCATCAGCTGGTTTTCCTTAGATAGAAAGCTTTGAATCATTTTGACTGTATGATCTGGTTGAATTGTCTCTGTAAATCCCAGATGACGTGTTGTGAGTTGGTGCTATAAAAATAAGCTGAAATGAATTGAATTACACCAAAAGTACCACAACATAAAGTAAGCGATCATCTGCTGATATTCACAACTAAAACTCATTATTTCATCCCGTAAATAAACGAGTTTTGGTATTCAAAGACTAATTGACTGAATACAGTCCTTGTCTCATCTGCATATTTTATTCTTTTTAACCAGAGATTGAAATATAGAGAAACCAAGTTGTCTGGTCTTTTGTTTTAAAACCAAATGTAATCATTGACAACAGAAAGAGAAACAGGATAGCCTTTTCCCTCAAATTTAATCCAACATTTTCATCCAAGTGAAAAAGAAGAACTTAAAATATACTACTGTCACACAAAAACATTCCTGTATATCCCCTCTGAGAAGCTGTGCATGTCCAAGAGTTTACAGTTGAGTAAAAGCAGAAAACAACCCACTTTTCTCTCACTTTGCCAATGTGATAATCTGACATGAACCCCTGGTTGATTTGAATTAGGGCTGCAAGAAATTATTATTTTTCTAATTGAATAATCTGTTGATTATTTTTTGATTAATAATTGGATAGCAAATTTTTTTTTTTTTCCCAAAAATAATCCAAGTGAAACTATAACTTCCACTTGAGGAGTTCTGGATACACCATACTGAAAGAGAATTTATTTTTTATCTTAAATGCAAAATGTTTGTATATTTTATTACAATTTTGCTATAATTACTGCTTTAAGTGGGTTGCTCAGCTATAGGCATGTTTTAAAGTCTCTAAACTCAAGTAAAAGATTAATCGATTGCTAAATTAGTTGACAATTATTTCAATAATCGATTAATGAAGATTAATCTGATCAGCCTCCCTTTGATTGCTGCACTTTTCGAAGAAATCTTTAATTCTTTTGACACCATGATAGAAACAATAGTAAACTTTGTAAAATTATATTCAGTATTTCCGACTACACTTCATGAATACATCAGTTATTTTCTGGGAAACCATCATAGTAATAGAGGTAAAGAAATGTTTAAAGTTATGGTTACGAAACTGCAAACTTCTCAATCATCCACTTTCTACAGTTCAAATTATATTAATTAGCTGCCAGAGAAAGAGCTGCATACGGTGGACTAATGTTTTTGCCCCACTGGCAGCTGCTGCTGAGCACTGCCGGACAGCTGGAACAATTTTTCTCCCCTTAGTAGGAAGGATCTAGGCTGCCCAGAAAAATATTTAGTTATGACACAAAGAGGCAGTCATTATGTGTGAACTAAAGAAACGCCACCCATCACTTTAATCAGTGTTATGAAAGAATTAATGATCCGTTTTAAATGAACACAATAACGTTAAATTCCGTAAAAGTTTAAAAAATAATCCACTGGACTTGGTCCAAGTCTAGTGGATTGTTTTTTTAACTTTTACGGAATGACAACGACCTGGATGACTGAGAATCTTCATCAGCAACATGTTAAATATTTCTGCTTGACATGTTTTATGCCGTACTGTCCTGAAGTTTTGGTGTTTTATTAAAGGTTTTCCTTCAGAGAGAAACTCATACAGACGCATGCCTTCACACATGGCCATGCTTTAAATATTTTAATCTCTTTTCATTGTGGCGCCTGCCTATTAAGTGGAGTGTGAAACTATGAGGAACACTCAGAGATTTCTTATGAAAGATTCACATGGCAGTGTTGTAAGCCAGTTTTTTCCCCTCCATCTCTTTGTCTATCTATAACTTCCCTTTTGCCTTTTTATAATTTCAAATCGAGCCCTCTTTTTTTCCTGTAGCATGCTAAAAGAAGCCCTGCAGTAATTTATCATTAGTGCTTGCATAGTTACAATCAAAGCAAAAAGAAAATAATAGTAATTAATTTTAGGATGCTTTCTATTCTTAAATTAATTTTCAAAGCTGTGATTTTTCTTCATGTTTTTGTTCGTTCCTCTGTAGCCCCATAGCAAGGAAAACTGATAAGCCTCTATGAGACAGAGAAACTAAGCTGCACCACCCAGGAGTCTTTAAAGCTCTGATCTGTTTAACTGCAGAGGCCCCGGGGCCAGCAGGTCAGCCTACTAATGAGATAATTCACCTTTGCTTTAAGCTCTGCTTCAAACGCTTCCACTCGAACACAATGGCAAATGGCTGCCACCCTTAAGGCCTCATGTATTCTTAATTCCCCACTCATGCACATTTAGTCCCCCTTAATCATTAATATGATCTTGTTAGGCACTTTATGTTACAAGAGGAATAAAATGACGCCAGGTTACCCCCGGCAAAATTTGTCTTGCACCTCAAAGAAATGGAGTTGGAGGTAGGAATGGCCAATTATTATATCGTTTATGAAGCAATCATGATAGATAATTGTAAAAAAAATTATAACTGATGTTGGAAAACCCTCAAAAATGTTGTTTGGGTTTTTACCCTGGCTGTTTGGACAGGTTTTCCCACCGCGGGTATAATGAAATCTGTATTAAAAGCTATGTTTTCTAGTCATAATATTATTGATAACCATTATTGAACAAACAGCACAGTTTTACAGCACATAATGTATGTGTTGTTGCAGTGAATGGCTACTTATGACAATGGGATTTTTTTATCTTTAAAAGGGGAAATAATCTTTGTTGCAATTTCAGCCATGGGTGACTAATACACAAATAAAAATCGGGGATGGCTATTCATTTATTTTTTAATATTTCTGATTTTATTATTGCTTTTACTTTTATAAAATAAAAAAAGTCACTGAGCTACTATTTAAGGTGTGTCTAACCCACAACTGGCAGTAGGTATGTGACTTTAAATGTTTAGGATGGCTGAAAGGAAGAAAAAACAGCTTTTAGCTTGGGTTGCAATTCAAACAATTTTCAATAGTAAAGTCAAGTAAGAACAGTACTGTAGGAGCTTGTTGCGGAGGTTTTGGTCCAAAGTTTGATTGATTTTTTTTGTTCTTTAAAGGAATCATATACCGTTATTAATAGTTTAAAGTCAGCTGATTTGTTATGCAATGAGATGGCTAATTAGCCTGCAAAATAATCCATAAAGAAATGTGACATTATATCTTATTTTCAGGATTTAAAAACCATTTATGCTCCAGAACAGAATGCACATTGGATGAGTATCGTTTTAATGCATCTGTTACTGCTTATGAAGGTAAACACTATATTTTGCAGCAACAAATTTGACTTTCTGGCTTAATTTGCTGTTTTTCTGAAAAAAAAAGTTGTATTTTTCAGTCATTCTCAAAATAAATCTTGAAATTAAGTACATTTTCATGATTTTTTGGTCAAAACAATTAACAGCTTTTAATCTAAACTGAGAGATTTAAAATAACTTAAGTTGTGGCACTGAACATGCAGTACAATCCCTTATTTATAACCAACTACAGATTAAATTGTGTTTTCTTTTCTTTTTTTTTTTTTACAGCAAATGTCTGCTGGGAGCTATAGTTTTTTTTTTTCTCAGACTGGGGCAGCTCCTTGCTCCATGGGAGCCTCATAATCCCAGTCAGCTGCCTGGAAGGAAACACTCTGGTTCCTCACAGGCAGCATCATGTGAGCTCATGTGAGTTTGGGTCCTTAGAAAATAACAGCTGGTTAGAAAGACTAATAATGAGTCACTTTTCCCTCCTTCATGTGACACAGGAATCATTGTATTTCAAGCATTTTCAATAAAATACAACACTGATTCAATGGAGAGAGAGAGACTGTAGTTGATTAAGTTAAAAGAAAAGATTTAAATGAAACAAAAACAGAAAAGAGTCTGATAATAGACTGCTGTACCTTTTGGCCAGGCGTGCCAATGGACATCTCTATGTAGTAGCCTCTACCTGAGTCCCCCTGTAGATTATTGACCATGTCCAGAAAGTTGACAGTCCCGCTGGGATCAGAGGCCAGAGAGAGGCCGTCTCCATCCGACTTCAGCGCCAGAACCCGGACTGAGGACGAGTTCGCCCCGGATGATAAATTAAACTTCCCCGGGTACATTTTCAACGGGATTGAAAACTGACATTTAAACGCACCAAAGAAGAAGCTGAAAACAAATACCCGAATGGAAACAGAAGCGAAGTTGGCCATGGTTACGGTTGTTTTCTTTTTCTCCGAATGTTAATAACTGAAATAGTTTTTAGAAAAGTTGCTGCGGAAACTTTCTCTCCTGAGGTTGGGGGCTCTGCTGTCATGTCAGGGGAACAGCAGCTGTTTTGTTGTCGCCATCATGGAAACGCAGCCTTCTCTTCGTCATAAACAGACAGAACATCCTCCTAATGTTTGACTGGCGACAAAAAGAAAGCAAAACTTCTCACAGCCGCGACTTTTTCCAAAGGACTTGTGTCCATCCACACCTCCAACCGCGTGAAGTCTGACGTTGTAAAGGCAGTAACTTCCGGTTTGTACTTTCAAAGTAAAATATAAGCCATTTCTGGGGGGAATTATAAGCAGGGGCTTTCTCCCATAATCAGGGCCGGTTCTAGCCCTTTGGTTGCCCTAGGCAAGATTGAGTTTTGCATTAAGCATTCAGAAAAAACTGTAACTTAGCATGGAGTGATGCATAGACAAATACCAGAATAGGTTTCAGTACCTTTTCTTTTTTATTATTTTAAATAATTTATTACACACTCAAAGTTAGGACTGTGCAAAAACACTTTTAACCATCTGTAAGGACACTGTAAAGTATAACTAAAAAACTGGATTGAATCATTGAATGAATTTATTTCAGACAATTAACAAATTTAACACACATTAAAGAAATATTAAATACATCAATTTCAGAAATTACCAAATAACAATAAAAAATAATAAATTTAAGAAATTCTTCAACCAAGGACTACATAAAAAAGTAATTGATAAACATTAAATTAAAATTTCTGTTCCAGTTCAATTAAATCATTTGAACATAAATAGAAATGAGATAAACAAAATTTTCCTCTAAATAAAATATATCAGCTATATTTACCCTGATTTCTGACATTGATTAGTGATTAAAGAAAGGATTAACCCTCTACAAACAAAAGTGCTTTTATGAATACCATTACAAAATTAAAAGTTTGAAGTTGTTGTTTTTTTTTTGTTCACATATTCTATGATGAACAGCCATAACTTCATATATTTTGATGATTATTTGTACATCCCTTTTGAATACTCAATGCAGATAATCACTACAAAATATTTTATTTATATTAGTATCTTCTACCCATTCTCAAGCTAATAATATAGCACATAATTCTGCTGCATATATACTGAGAAAAAAATGATGTCAACATTAGGGATGGGGATCGTTAATATTTATTGATATCGATACCTTTATCGATACTCCTTATCGATCCGAGTCTTTATCAATACCACTATCGATACTTTTCTGTTATTTGGTGGAAAGACGATGCAACAAAATTTTTTTAACAGAACTGGTATTGCTTCTATTGCTTAACAAGTGAGCATAACAAAAACGTTTCTAGCCTTCAATAAACATGGCTAATGTAATAGGCCACTTCGAAATGACATAAAACTAACTAGAATATATTTTCACAATTGTTGGTTAATGTATTGTCTACTGTCACTTTTCATCATGTTTTTAGTGATTAGGAAAATATTTAACAAATAAATAATTGTATTTTAAATTAAATGTAATTTTTAATAAATGTTGGCATCAGTAGTTTAATTATATATAGAGCAATATACAACTGTATTACTCATGTTTCTCGCCAAAAACAAAATTTCCCGTTTTCTTTACGTTACACTTGAAGGCATCATGATAACCTAATTGTCGTTTTACTGAGCTAATCTGAACACATCATCACGCAGCACGTCTGAAACGAATTTACTTTTCAAGCTAACTAGCTTGTATGCTTCCGATTACAACACGGATTTCACAATGAATATTTTTAACTGACCGGACAAGCTACAAAGTCTGTGTGCGCTTACCAGTGGTACTCTGAGTGGATGATTAAGATGGGCCCGACTGCGGCGGCAGCAGCAGGAGGAGGAGGAGGAGTCTTTTCCGTTCAGCCATCCTCGAGTCGCGAGCTAAGTTAACTGCCAGACTTCACTAGTTTTACTTTTAATATCTGTTTGCTTACAATTTCATTCCAAAATATTGGTGTACATGCTGCAGTGATTGACGTCACGACTTCCGGGTTGGAGGGCGCTTGAAAAGTGATCAGAATCTTTTCCGATATGCTCTTAAATGTGAAAAAATAAATAAAAAAACGGTGGTATATTTATTTGTTCATATTTTGCTATTTATATATACGTAAGGTTAAGTCAAACTGACGGACGCTTCATAACCGGTTTAATTCGCTTTTTTTTCTAATTCTATGATTAATGGGAAGTAAGCCTAAGGGCGACGCTAAGTATAGAGGGCGCCCCCAACACATTTGTCGCCCTAGGCAATTGCCTAGCTCGCCTATAGCAATCGCCGGCCCTGCCCATAATGAAATAAAGAACTTTAAAAATGTAATTTTTGACATAAAGATCTTACATTATGGTACATTTGGGCTGTTATTAACATCAAAACTGTATCACTGCCTTATTTGCGTCCTGTGTGGTTATCTAAAGCTAAACCATAGACCTTTATTCTGAAAGGTAACTCTTTAAACGTTGTTCTACATTTTATAAATCTTGATACCATGGTGTTTACCATTTCCTTCATGATTGGTGACATTTTATTTCAACAAACTTGCTCTAGGCAGATAGAGCACTGAAAAAATAAAAAAAGTTAACTGATTTTTACATTTTATTTCAGTTAAATATGGGAGAAAATTCAGAATTTTGAGAAAAAAGTCAGAATTCTGACTTTTTCCCATATTAAACTGAAATAATATTTAAAAATCAGGTATGGTAAAATACTTTGAAATGTATTTATTTATATTTGTTTTACAAAGATATCCAGGTAACTTATATAACCAAGTAAATATAACTGGTTGCTGCACACCTCTCAACATAATTCATTATGTTGTTTATATTGGAGTTTCTCAGTGTTTCTTTATTTTATAAGAACTCCTGTACTACTAAACCAGATATTTTAAGAATATTTTAAATATTACTTGAAAGTTTTCATAAAGTTTTCATAAAGTTATTGAGTGAAAAAACGGCTTTTAAATGCATGTCTTACACAAATACTGTGTTATTGATCAAATTATTTATGGTACTATGAATAATAAATGGTCTGGTGCATCTGTTTTATATGTTTCAGTTGTATCTCATATATTTGTTGAAAGGTGTAAGAAAAAATAACTGAAAGTATAAAGCATGACAAAAAACCTTGGTCCACATCTGCTGTTTGTAAATGATTTTCATGCAAGAAAAATTGCTTTAAGTCCAGGAAAGGTGGTTTCTCTCAAAATCTAGTGCTGCTGCTTTGCCAATAAAACTTAGCAAAAAAAATGTATTCTTGTATTAATTGAAATAATTTATTATCTTAATGTCCTACAATGTCCACACAGTGTTGGGTCATGGTTTTGCTTTTATTCTCATAAAAGGCTTTACCTATCAAAGATTGTGACACTTTAAGGTGTTATTTCTTTTCTGTTGTGTTCCCAAACTTTTGAGCCAGTGACCCCAAAAGTAGCACTGCCATACAGTGATGATCCACTAATAATACATGTAACCATTTCACCCTATATTCATACAAAAAAATACCATGAATTATATCAGTTTTAAAATACATGAATTTAATTTAATTCATCATTTTAAATGTATTTTAACTATCTAATGAGAAATATAGTTATTTAATGCAATATTTAAACCGATATAAATACAATTTAGATCTACTTATGTCATGGTTCATTGATTCCTTTAATGTGAGACACACATTTACTTTACTTCATTGATCACATTTAAATGACTGTGAAAGCGGACTCACAACCCCAACTTTGGATAACTCTGTTTCAGATTTAGGACATCTGTGAATATGAATTTAATAGGTGAATGTAATATGAATGATAAGTATTATATTATTGGTGTGTTACCTTATGTGTTTTTTCGCTGCTGCATATTCTTCCAAATTTTGCATGAACCTTCATTTAGTTCATATGATCAGTTTGCTCCTTCTTGATGATGACAGCATTTATGTGCATTGTGGGAACAGATGAGAGTGATAAAAAAAAATGTGAAGCAAAAACACATTTGTAGGTGGAAAGACAATTATGTTTGTTTTTTTTTTTCAATGGGGAGAAATACATTTACTAGGAGAGAACACGTGGCCTGATAGACATATCATCCACATTAGAAGTTATGATGAATTATGTCAACTTTAAAGCCTGCAACAAGACAACTGCAAGATTAAGAATATTGTGGTTAAAATCCAGTTTTCTGCCATCACACCTTTAAATCAAATAAAAATGTACTTTTTTAGCCTGACAAATTGTTTAATCATGTAAATCTAAGATTGGTTATAATATTAACTTACTTGTTGTGTGCGAACCAAAGGAAAACAGTGAAAGACCATCAGAAAGCATAGAGAACCATTATAATGCCTGTTACTGGAAAATCTGACCAAGCAACAACTAATAAACTTCCATTCTGCATTTCCAATACAGGTATGCAGTAATATTAAATATTGACATGTGTCACAATAAATTAGATTTATATAATTTATGTGACAAAACAAAACAATACTGTGTAATTGTGTAGTTGGAGGGAAAAAAGCGATATATTTGAAATGAAATTAATTGAAAAATCAAAACAATCTAAAACAGTTTCTATTCAGCCCACATAGTAAAAATCAGAATCAGAATTACTTTATCACTTGCAGGAAAATGTTTATGTCTTTAAAAGTCTTTAGAAGTCACCTAAATTCAGTCTGTCTGTGTCTAATGTAATTTGAGTGTAGCCTTCACAGCTATTCTAGGAAGGCCTCAGAGGTTTGTTAGAGAACATTGGTGAACAAACCGTATCATGAAGATTAAAGAACACAAAGGATAGGTCCAGGAGAAAGTTGAATAGAAGTTTATAACCTTTATGAACTTAAGCCTGGTAAAGACATGCTTAATCTGAAATTAAAATACGAGAATCTGATAAAATGACATCAGAAAAAAGTGGAAAAAAGAAAACCACTTGTGCAAGAAAGTCATAAGAAGTATTTTCTGCCACAAGCAATCTAGCAGGTGTTCTGGTCAGATAAGATAGAAATTGAAATTTTCGGCACATAACATGCAATCCAATTCTTCTAAAAGAACCAATCAGTATTGAGACACGGTGGCGGGATGATGCTGTGGAAATTATTTTTTTCCACAGTGATGGAGAAGCTGTTCTTGCACTTACAGCTGGTTCTACAGAGTATTTCATTTATTCAATCCATTTATTTATTAAGGCAATGTTGTCAAACTCATGTGAAACTAAAACTATACACCAGTCTTTACATTCT